AAAAAGCCTGGCTATTTTTTTCTTGCAGTTTGGCCGGGGCCGGGTTTGAACCCGCCACCCTTGGTATATGAAGCTGGTGCCCTGCCCATTGAGCCACAGGTGCCACCCATTTCATAAAAGTTTTTAATTAATACTTTGTCAATAAAGGTACACTGAGCTACAATTTCCCATCTTGCCTATGTATAGTGACTTTTGGGACACTGTGTACTATATAGGGTAAGAATTTAATGTGGAAAGATAGTATAGTGATTAAGAGCAAGGACTTTGGGGGTCACATTCTCTGGTTTCAAATTCTGCCTCTGACATCTGTTATCTGGATGACTATGGGTAAATTGGTGAGTTTCTCTATGATGTCTAATTAAAATAAGCATTATAATCTCTTCTCAATACATGTAAAGTACATAGAAATGTTGGTGCATAACTGTTTGTTTAATGTTAGTTGCTGCTTTTTTCACATCATATTCACCATCTGTTTTTTTTTTTTTTTTTTTTTTAAGTAGTGGTGAGGATGCATTTTATTGATGATTTCATAGAGTCCCACTCAGACTTGCCTTAGGAAAAATGTACTTTCAGGTTGGGAATGGTAGAGGCTATGAGATAGCAAGTTTCTGGTTTCATTGACAAGGCAACCTAAGCACTGGGTAGCCATTTTAGTGATGTATAGTACTTGCATCTGACAGACTCTTCTAATGAGTCTTCATTTACTGTATATCAAGTGTATTCCCCTTTATTTTGTGAGGGTATATCAGTCTGACTTTTTTTAATGAACCTGACAATGTGAACATAGCAACCCGACTTTTATTAAATATATCTGAAGTTAACCCCTCTAAAGGATCTTTAATCTACCTTTGAAGTCAGTATATTTTATAAGTATCTACTGAAAGATTTGTGTGGGAATGTGGTTTTCTTTCTCTTTAGTTTTTAGTGTTCCTCCTGGAGGTATATGTTATACTACGGAGGCTTTTAAAAAATCCACACTGAATAATAGCATTTTTCTGCTTGCTTAAAACTTCTTGGGGGGAGAATGCTGCCGTGTAGTTTACTTATTAAATTAATGAGTTTTTGGCTAGGATAGCTAGCTCATTCCTGTAATCCTAGCACGCTGGGAGGCTGATGCTGGAAGATTGCTTGAGGTCTGGAGTTAAAGACCAGCCTGAGCAAGAGTGAGACTCTGTCTCTACTAAAAATTAAAAAAAAAAAATTAGCCAAGTGTGGTGTTGGGTGCCTATAGCCCCAGTTAGTTGGGAGGCTGAGGCAGGAGGATCATTTGAGTTCAGTAGTTTGAGGTTGCAGTGAGCTATGATGATGCCACTATACTCTATCCCAGGTGACGGAGTAAGACTCTTGTCTCAAAATTTTTTTTTTTTTTTTTTAGATAGCCTAAAGCTGTCCCCCTGGGTAGAGTGCTATGGCATCACAGCTCACAGCTACCCCCAACTCCAGGGCTCAAGCGATTCTCCTGCCTCTGCCTCCCAAGTAGCTGGGACTACAGGTACCCACCACAACACCTGGCTATTTTTTGGTTGCAGCCAATATTGTTGTTTGGCGGGCCTGGGCTGGATTTAAACCCGCCAGCTCAGGTATATGTGGCTGGTGCCTTAGCTGCTTGAGCCACAGGTGCTGAGCCTCAAAAAAATTTTTTTATTTTTAATAGATTACTAGAATTCACAGAGGATAATGAGACCAAATATTAAACACATTACCAAACAGGTTTTTCCTTCCCTCCCCAGCCTATTTGCTTCTCTTTTAGCATTGTGCATAGAAGAGAGAGGAGACTAGTTCTCTGTGTACTACATTCATATGTTATCATAGTTACTAGCTATATAGATTTTATTTTATATTACTATACTTAGGCTCAGAGACATGGAAGTTGTTCAGATCACATGTTTACAAAATGATAGTTGATACTTGAATCTAAGCATTTCTCATTCTGTTCTTTCTTTCTGCTCTTTCCCAACTTGTGCTTTTCCTCCACCAAATCAGAAAGTTCAGACAACCAGTATGTTACATATAAATAAAGTAGTAAGTGCAGTTCCAAATTTAAATTCCATCTTCACTTCCTTGATCTTCTGAAAATACTTCCATGTTTAGTTCTCAGTAGGTGAGGAAGGAATGAGGTAGGGTAGGGTGTGTGAGCAAATGAGGAGTCCATTGAGGAAAATGGATTATTTGAATGGTGTGATCCTTGAAGATGTGTGCTGTCAAGGATTGTCCTTTGCAATTTATAAGATTTTGCTTTTAACTAGGTGATTTTTTCAGGCAGAAAAATACCTTTCTGTAGAGATAACCCCTTACTGCTGCTGCTGTTCCCCCCTCCCCCCGCCTTTACTGCTTCTTCTAAGTTTCTTCTCACAAAATGTGGGAAATTGAAATTGTTGTTTTTTTCTTCTAGATTAACTGCTGAAGTACTGATCGAGTTCTGCGTTTCTTCAATGAGGAACTACAGGCTGATCTTCTGCCATAATCTCAAACAGCCATAAATGACAAAAGAATGCTTGCTCAGTGAGGGTAGCTGGTGCAGAAGCCATTTTTTAAACTTAGGTGTTTAAGTACTCAGAGGTAAGTTTTCAGAATGGTAACTATCCCATGCTCTAAAAATCCACATAAATTTTGGAATTTTCTCCCTGTATTTGCTATATGATCATTAACTTGAAGTTTTGTAGTTCATAGCTGGCACCAGATGTGTTGTAGAATGAATATTGCTTGTCTAGGACTTATGCAAACTTATGGCATTTTGCCGTCCGTATGTTAATTTCTACTGTTCTTTTAAGTTGGCTAAATTGTTTCCTAGTCATGTTGTGACAGTTTCTTGATTTAGTGGGTATACAGTTGATCCAATGGACCTTATTTTTGTTAACTTTAGAATTTGGGGTAGATTTATCTTTGTGATTTTGTTATTTTTCTCTTGCAGTAAGAAAGGAAGTGTTCTCGGGGGTGATGAAAAAGATGAGTTGGTGTCATTTTGTTCATTATCAACTTCTGAGAAAAGCTTTTCTTTCTTTTGGAAATATTCTTTTCCTACGTAAAGTAATGTTTATTTTAGAAAATGAATTTGTTTTGAGATTATTTGTTCTCTGATGTGTCAGATATTGGAATTGGCCATCTGAGGCATTGTTTTCTTCCACTGCTTTACTGATCACAATTCCTACAAAGCTAAAACAAATAACTATTTCTTCTGAACTAGATGGCTGTGGATATTTTTCTTCTGAGTAATTTTGAGACAGTAGTGTTGATAAAAGGACTTTTCTCATTGAATATTGTACCCCAAACTGAAAAATTTCTTTTTTCTATAAATGTGTTTTACAGCTGCTCTGACATATAGACATAATTGCCCGATTACTCTTGTTCTTATTAGATCATCACTTATAAAAGTGATTATTAGAGGGTGGTGCCTGTGGCTCAAAGGAGTAGGGCGCCATCCCCGAATACTGGAGGTGGCGGGTTCAAACCCAGCCCCGGCCAAAAAAAAAAAGGTGATTATTAGCCTACCAGTTTATAAAAAATTATTCTCTCCTGCTTGGGCTTATGAATTGAGGGGTTACATGAGCTTCATATAGAGTTGAGGGATGGATTTGGTCTGTTTTTTTTTGTTGTTGTTACCTGTGTCGTAATAAGCTTTGTTAGTAAAGGTCCTGTTGGAGCTATATTTGCCCCCTCAATTTGTCTTTGGGATGTTAATGCCTTTTGCTAAATTTTGGATGATCAGTTTTTCCATAGATAAATATGCAGTAGTAAAAGGAGCATTCAGAACTAACTCATAGTAGAGAAAATGCCTACATAATTATGTTGAGCTTTATTTGTAGAACACACTGTGGGTCTGATAACTGGAACATACTTAAATAGATGAGAGTACATTCAGGTGTAAAGCATTTTTCTTTAATGTATTTAGTCATATTGCCACCTGTTAATCATTATAGTCTTTTTTTTTTTTGTCTTTCATTTGGCAGAAAAGACAGCTTTGATTTCTGGCTGCAAAAAAGATATGAGGAAGAGCTCCTCCCCTTCCTTGAGTAACTGCAACTCCGTTCTTGCTAACAAAATATTTGGAATTCCACTTGATGAGCTGCAGCAGGGAGGACATCCAGACAATGAGGTTCCATTCATAGTCCGCCACGTTGTGGACTATATTGAGGAACATGGTATACATTTCCTTACTTTGAGGGCTAGCTTTTGTTTTAGTAAACACAATTTATCTCTTTTTGACCTTGGATTTTTAAATTTTTTTTTTTTTTTAAGTTTGGAAAGTCCAAAACAGGAAAAACAATAGAAATTATTTTTAATGTCTTAGTGTGTTTTTTACTTAAATTCATATGACAGTTGCCCAACCTAGAACATTTTTAGTGGGGGTGATAGGAATATTTTTAATGGATGTAAGGGGTGGGATAAAATAGAATATCCCTCAGGACAGAGATTGTGTGTTTTTAGATGTGTAATTTGAAGGTTTTTAGACAAATCAGGGGAGCCAAAAAAGGCTTTCCAGAAGTATGAGTATTAAGTTGATTGGAGAATGAATATATGTGGCCAAGTAGTTGCAGTTGCAGCTTATTTAATATTTGCCTTGAACTAATGTAGGAGGTCTGGAGCAACAAGGACTTTTTCAAGTCAATGGAAATGCTGAGACAGTGGAGTGGCTTCGGCAGAGATACGACAGCGGAGAAGAGGTGGATTTGGTTAAGGAAGCAGATGTTCCCTCAGCTATTAGTCTTCTTAGGTTTTTCCTTCAAGAACTTCCTGAACCTGTTATTCCTGGCAGTTTGCATATTCATTTGATGCAGCTTTCTCAAGGTAACAATTTGATTCTCATCAATCAGTCCTTTTAGTTTTGGAGTCTTTACCTTTTAGAAATCTTGACATGAACAGTAAGTATAGTATTTCAGAGATGAATTTCTTATTTTCTTTTGGTCAATATGGTCTAGTTAAGGAAATGGCAACTTCATGGATCCCTATGGTACTGTTTACCTTTTATGATTGGTCTTACTAGCCTAAGAAGCAGGGTGAGCAGGAGAAAAGAGAGAAAATGAGAACAAGCAGCAGAAAGGTAGCAAGTAAAAAGGAAAGAAGAAAGATAAGTAATGTGTATGGTGACACAATGTCTCACAATAATAAGAGGTATTGCTTAGTGTGGAATACTACTATAGGGTGCTTATCCTTGATTTAATTACATAGAACTTTTTTTTTTTTTTTTT